AGCCATGGATCATTTCCCATTGCTTCCAAGGGGCAAATTCCTCCCTTTTTCTCCTCTTTTTCCCCATTATCCTTAAATTCCTATGCTCCTATGCTTTTTTTTTTTTTTTTTTTTTTTTTTTAAGGAGGAAGCTATTGAATTACTTCCATTCCAATTTTACGAATTATTTCCATTCCAATACCAGTTGGGATTTTTTTACATTAATTTTCAGGATCATCTGATCCTTTTTGGCCTACCAGTGAATGAAATCCCATTGGTGCCCATATTCAAGAACATTCCTCTTTCAGACACTGAAATTATTCCATATCCACATATTTAAAAGACATGGACCACACTTATAACCAACATTCTCCCTGTTCAGATAGTTTAAATGGAGCTCATCTGCACTTAAAGTGAAAAAAGAAATGTTTGAGATTTTTTTAAAATGTAATTCCTAAATTTTAATTTCCTTTTGAAAAAATTATCCCAGAGAAAGGACAACTTAAAGAAACACTTTGGTCACTGAATATATTCCCATCCCTTTGGCCTGTCTGCACTGGAGTGAAAACCAATGTGAATCCACCAAACCTGTAGAAAGATGTTAAGTTGCTCTGTGGATGCTAAATTTTGACACTTCCTCAGGAGGAAACCAGATGGAACCCAATGGAAACAATCACAGCCCAACACTGAGCTGAGAAGGACAATATTTCCTTCTCCAGAGCACAAGGAATTTCTGCAGTTTTCCCATTCCCAAGCAAATACAAGTCCAACCTCTCACCTTGTCAATGAAGGAGGCAAACTGGTTGTTCAGAGTCTTGATCTGCTCCTTCTCCTGGCACTTCACTTGCTGGATCTGAGGGTCAATGTCAACGTGGACTGGCCGCAGGAGGGTTGGGTCCACCTGCACTGGTTGGATGCCTCCAGGGAACCCGGGACCACCTCTGATGGGGCCACCAAAGCAGCCCATTCCTCCACCAATGACACCTCCTCCAATGCCACCAAATCCTCCTGGAAATCCTCCACCAAAGCCACCAATTCTACATCCGTAGCCACTGCCATAAGAGCTGCCCATGGAAATCCTTGTGCTGCCCCCCAGGTTGTGGAGGCTCCGGCTGCTGAATCCTCCACAGTGTCCACCGCCACCTCCAATCCCCCTGGATGTGGAGAATGAGCTGTAGCTGATCCTGCTCCGGCTGCCGCCTCCAAAGCCACCACCAACAGCAGAGCAGGAGCTGAACCCCCTTTTGCTCCCAACTCCGAAGCTCCTGCAGACAGACTGACGAGACATGACTGCTTCTCCTCAAAAGAGCCGAAACTGGGGAAGATGAGGAGATCCACAAAGCTGGGCTGGTGCTGAGGACAGAGAGAAGCGCTCAGAGTCTTCTCTGGCTTCACAGCTCCAGGCATTCCCTTTTATCTGCTCCTGGAGGTGGGCTGGGACAACTTGGGCGTGAAGAGGAAACAAATTTACTGTCTTCATCAGCTTGGTGCGGTTAACAGTTTTTTGCCAAATTGGTGACTCCACCCAGAAATCCGCTTCGCCTTGCAGAAGGAAAAGGAGAAGCACTGAGGCAGGTCTCTGTGAGTAAGTGGACTCCCATATCTTTATGTCATCTGGAAAAATATATTTTACAGTGATGTTGTCATGTTTTTCCCTCCTCCCACTTCCCTGCCTGCTCCTAACCACTCCACAGGTTGTCTGACTCCAGATTTTTTTGCCTGACACTCCACACCAGGCAAGGATTTTGGTGAAACCCAGACAGAATGAGGCTTTCACAATTCCCCCAAGCACACACCACATCTCCTTGTTAAGCAGAAAATTCCCAGTGGCTTTCCAAGTGGAAAAATGCTGCATCATTAGCATTTAACAGGAGTCAGCATTTCTGCTTTATCCAGAAAGGAGCTACTCAGTTCCTTCCTAAGAGCATCAGGTGGGATTTTCTCTCCAAAATGTGTCCCACAAAGTCTGAGACAGCCAGGTCCTGGGATTCTGAGCACCAGAGCAAGAGAACAAGGATGTCTAACTCTTGCTTGTGTTTTTCCAATGACCACAGGGCTTGTCAAGCCACAGAGGACAGAAAGGACACTCCAGGCAGTAGATGCTGTAATGATGACTGACAATAATGTTTAATTTCATGCACCAGCTCCCCTGCAATGGATTTGGACATCTTCGGACTCATGTGAAAGACATCTTGCAGGTACCTTCTGAGCTGCACTAATCAAATAAATATTTTAGTCACATTAATTTTTTATTTTTTTTTTTTAAAAACCACCAACATTTCCTTCATTCTTATTTCCGGAAATCATGAATAAAAATCAAGGGAAATATATATTTTAAAACACTTCAGCAGTCAAAAAATACCCAGTTTTTAAGCTTCCAATTGCATGTGTTGAGTTTTCATGGTCACACCAGAGAGATTTGGGAAGGTAAATGTGGTTTGAAAGCGTTCCTAGGAATCAGCTGGTGGCCACAGACACAGCAAACACTTTAGAAAACCAGCCAGGGAAAACACTTCCAAAAGCCACTGGAGGAATCGGAAACATGAATGTCATTGACTGTCACTGGGATGAGGCTTCTGGAGCCATAGACTGTGTGGAATGGAAGGAAGGAGATGACGTTACTCTTGATGTGGGTTCAAATGTTGGCCAAGATCATCCCACCCCTAGAGACTCAACAGTTGGCAACAGTTATTCAGCAACTGAATAGCTGGCCAAAAATTATCCCTCCATTAAGGAACTGAACAGTTGGCCAAGGATTGTCCCACCCTTGAGGGACACAAGTCATGGTTGGCCCAAGGTTACCCAGGTGTGTGTTCCTGCAGCTGGAGAATGGACAGCGCCCCCAAAGCACAGAGGGGAAGCCCTCCTTTCCAAAAGCAGCTGCAATCAAGATGGGCTGGTTTCTCCATGGTCATCTCCCAGATGGAGATTTAACTTCTCCACACCATCCTGCAGCCCAGCGCACTTGTTCGTGACGAGCAGCCCAGGCCAGCTGCAGAGTGGCTCAGGTTTAGGTGGGGGAAACAGGTTGTTCCTTCTCCTGGCCTCCCTCCCAGCTGCCAAACCCATGGTATGAAGGCACCAGGACTTCACTGGAATATCCCATGAGGAAGTTCCACAACGAGGAGGAAGATCTGCAAAGTCAGCCAGATGCCTGGGTGCTGACCACACTCAACTCCTGCAGATAAGACGCCCAGATTGAGTCACTCTGACGTCTTCAGACGAGATGTGCAGATTATTCCAAACCTGGAGTCACCTGAGTCTCCTCCAGGTAAAACTCAACAGGCAGCTGGGCTCCAGCCATGCCCTCAGATCTCTTGTGCAAGGAGCTGTGCACAGCAGAATCATCAACACCAGGGAAAATGTGAACTCGGCAGAAAACATGGATCGAGACTGAGCCGCGCTCCAGCTTTGCATCTGACCCAGCCAAGAGTGCGGAGGAGGTGTCGCAATGACTCTTCACAGCAGCGCTACAACGCCATGTAAAGCTCGTTGTAAAGTTTAGAAGAAACTGGCTCTTAAAATTATACACCGAAACAGGTGATTAAGCACCAAAACAGGTGACTCTTGCCCCAAGGCAAACCTCAAAGTGCTTCTGGCACAACACCAGCTACACACAGGCATTGCCTACTCAGCATCTTTATTTGGGCCAAACCCAGTCACAATCCCAGCTCCAGCACCCTTTGAAGTGGGGAGAATCCCCTTTTCCAAGAGCCCACTGCCTTTCCTGGACCTCTTCCTCAGTCTGCAGCTTCCTGTCCCACTGTAGGAACATCAGCAGCTCCCAGAGGCTGTTGTGGGATTCCTGAACCACCACTGACAGTGTTTTCTGCCTCTGATCTCTCCAGGTGGTGGAGGAGCCACAGATCAAACACTCCAGTCTCCCCTCCCAAATCCCCACCTTGAGCTCCTCCAAATCTCTCTCTCTTGCTCTTGGAGCAAGGATGAGCCACTGGGGAATTAATTGGCTTCTCAGGGAGAGGATGGTACCTGAGCTCATGGATGGGTATGAATCACACCTTCGCAGCCCATCGTGTTCCCACGGCTGGTCAGGGATGGTACACGGCTCTCTGGTGCTCCCCCTGCTCTCTGGGTGCTGAGCTGTGCATCCCACCTGGCCGTCCACAGCCCAGGTGTGCACCAGAGACAGGTGCTTGACCAACATCCTGATCCATTGTTATCCATGTTCACCAGCTCTTCCACCCAAGGGGCTCCTGCCCTGCTACTCCCTCATCACAGCCCAAAGACCATTCAGAAGCAGACACCTTAGATGACACTTATCCAGTGCTGGCTCCCACCTGCTGCTGCTGATTCTCATCATTCATCAGCCCCTCTGGGTCTCTACTGGTCTGGCAACAAGGCACTGGGAATGTTCCTGCCTAAATCCCAGGACACAGATTTCTGCAGACCCTTTGCAGAGCTTCCAAAATTCAAGAGGGGTTGAGAAAGTCTCTTTCCTAGAGCTTCAGGAATTGGAGTGTTGCCACATCTGGAGAGATGTGATGTGGGCACTGGGGCACTGAGGCACCAAGTGCCTCTGTGTGCCTAGAACTGAGCCCAAAAAACTGGGACAGGGCAGCTTGTATTAGCTCAATGACTGGGAAGATACTGGAACCCTTTGTGCTGGAGATTTCCAGACCCAACAATTGCAGAAATCTGCTGTGGGAGTAACTCTACAGGATTCCAGGGATGAACTGGATCATTCACTATTATCAGGAGATGCTTAAAAATTGAGCAGGCTCGTGTATTCCTCAATTTGGTCTTGTGCTGGCTCAGTTACTGAGCATTGTGCGAACTGAGCATCCAGCACACACCACCTGGACTTGTGCCCTCGGGTGAGAGTCGGTCATCACTTGAGCTGTGATGGCTGCCTTGGTCCACCCCCAGCTGTTCACCTCCATCAAAGCACAGCTACAACACACTGAGCAAAGAATGACCCCCAGCCTCATAACAAGCTGCTACCCCAAAGCATGACCCGCCCTGCCCAGAGTGGCTCCCGGAACATCGACACAACAACATCGTGAATGTTCTCTGCAATTTATTGGGAATGGCAACATCCCAAGGAAGGAGGGCAGGATACACACATAGAGGACGGGAGGTGGGGACACAGAGGAGAGGAGGAAAGAGGAGTTTTATACACATTTGCCACAAGAAATGTACAACACAGCAAGGAAGGCAGAGCAGCCCCTCCTGCCAGGCAGCTCCCGGTGCCGGGACACCCACGGCATCCCCACCAAACCGCCGGGTGGGACCAGAATCTGGGACAAGTTGGGTGGGAGGGACACGGTTCGTCCCATTGCAAGACACCAGAGCTGGGCTTCAGGAGGCTGGGCTGCTGTCAGAAGAGAGAGGAGGTGCTTCTTTCCTTGTCAACCTTCGGGACTCAGAATCTCACTCCCGAAGATTTGACCGAGGTGGTGGTGACGCATCTCCGCACGGAGGAGGATCCCCCGCCAGAGCCGCACATCCTTCCGCTTCCAGAGGAGAAGCCGCCAGCGTACATTCCTCCCCCCATCCCACAGCTGCCGCCCATGCTGCCTCCTCCAAAGCTGCTGCCTCCTCCGCACATGCCGCCTCCTCCCATTCCTCCTCCCATGCCGCTGCCGCCTCCGAATCCTCCTCCCATTCCACAGCTGCTGCCTCCGAATCCTCCTCCCATGCCGCTGCCTCCGAATCCTCCTCCCATGCCTCCTCTGCCTCCAGACACAGTCGTCCTGCCCACCACAGCTGGAAGAGAAGCAGAAGTTACTCACCTGTTGCCCAAAAGTACAAGTTCTACCACTTCTGAAGGACCCCAGGGCAGATACTTACAGACATTGACGTTGGACATGCTGTCGTTGCACAGCCTGTGAAGAAAATTGGACAAATTATTCTTCTGGGAAGTGCATAGCTCTTCAGCTGAGAATTTCCCCTTTTTGCACAATTTTATATTTCTCAATTATTATTTAAAAATTAGCAACCTATTAAATTTTTTTCAGAATTTTCTAATTATTCTTTAAAGAAGTGAGCAACCCTTACCGTTCATATTCTTTTGAGATGGAAAACCCACTTAAGTATGTTTATGCTTAATATAATTAATATGTACTTGGGAATTATAGCGTGAATAACACAAAATCAGTATTTAGTATGGATTCAAAGGTTTTACCCACACATATTATAATCTGTTAAGAATTCAGTCAAATAGATGCCAATTAAGTACCTGTTCTCCTCCCCCTCCAGCAGCTTCCTGTACATGGCAATCTCAACGTCCAGTGCAATTTTGGTGTTCAGCAGCTCCTGGTACTCCTTCAGCAGGCGAGCCAGTTCCTCCTTGTCCTTCTGCAGGGCACATTCCAGCTCTTCCAGCTTCCTCCTGGCATCCTTGACGGCCATCTCCCCCCTCTCCTCGGCCTCAGCGATGGCTGCCTGCAGCTGCTGGTTCTAAAGAAGAGAAAACCGGTGTGTGAGATCCCTTCTGCCCACCCTCTACTGGAGCATTCTCGTGGCACAAACTGGAGGGAAAACAGGCAGAAATAATCCATCTCCTCCAAAGGGCAGCAATTTTCCTCTTTGCTTTCCTTCTCACCACCCAGCCCCATCCTGACCCAGCAGATAGCTGTTACTCAATGAGGTGCTGATGGTCCTTTACCTGCTTCTTCACATTCTCGATCTCAGCCCGCAGCCTCTGGACATTCCTGGACAACTCCTGGATCTCAATCTTGGTGTTGCGGAGGCTGTCCCCATGTTTCCCAGCAGTGTTCTGGAGTTCTTCGTACTGTAGGCATGGACAAAACACCCATCAGGGACACATCTGACCAAAAACTCAGGTGGTTCAAACAGCGGGGACTGTCCCAAGAACCTTGACCCCTTCCCAACTCACCCGGCTCTGGTACCAGGCCTCGGCCTCAGCCCGGCTGCTCTGGGCAATCTGCTCGTACTGGCGCCGAACCTCCTCGATGATGCTGTCCAGGTCCAGGTGCCGGTTGTTGTCCATGGACACCACCACGGACAGGTCCCGGCTGATCGTCTGCATCTGAGACAGCTCCTGCAACCAAGGCATGAGTCAGAGGCACCATCTCTTGAGAGGAGAGAAGAGCAGTAGCTCCAGGCAACCTCTCCAGATCAAACCCACAAAGACGCCCAGTCCAACCTCAGTGTCTTTGGCCACCACACCCTCATTAGAACTTCACCGAGGGGAAGGGAGAGCGCCTACCTCCTCGTAGATGCACCTCAGGAAGTTGATTTCGTCTGTCAGAGCTCCCACCTTGGCTTCCAGCTCGACTTTGGTCATGTAGGCACAGTCCACATCCTAAAGGAAAGATCTCAGAATTGGACCATGGCTTCCTTTCATCACAGAAGAACTGTTGGCTCTTCCTGTTGGGATCTGCCCGTCTTGGAGCTGAGTCCTTCTCATGTCTTTGCCTCTTGTCCCCCCTCACCCTATCCCTGCTGGTGTCTCCCAGACTCACCTTCTTCAGCACCACAAACTCGTTCTCGGCAGCCGTGCGACGGTTGATCTCCTCCTCATACCTGTGGCAGGGGCAGGACAAGGTGAGGCTCTGAGACCCCATGCCACTCCACCCACGAGGTTTCTGCATCAGCTGTGCTCTCCCGGCTGGTCCCTCCCTGTCTGTCCCCACACTCACTTGGTTTTGAACTCCTCCACGTACTGCCTCATGTTCTGCAGCTCCGATTCCAGCTGGCCCCGCTGCCCCAGCAGAGACTCCAGTCTCCTCCGCAGGTTCTGGATGTAATTCTCAAAGATCACATCCAGGTTCTTCCTCGGCCCTGTTGGTCCTTGCTGCTGGAGCAGCTCCCACTTGGTGGAGAGCACCTTGTTCTGCTGCTCCAGGAATCGGACCTACAGCCAAGAAAGGGTGTGTGAGACATTCACCAGAGAGACATCCCGGTCCTGGGAGATTTGGGAGCCCAGGGAATCATTTCCCATCTATGTCTCATTCAGGTATTCAAGCTCCTGAGTTGCATGAGAAGTATTACTTAATTAATTTCTTATTAGACAATTAAGTTATGAATCATTCTGAACTTCTCCGTTGGGGACAAAGCGGTGTTCCCAGTAGAAAACATCATCCCAATCTTCATTAGCATCAGGTTTGGACTTTGCCATCATCTTTCCCACACTGAAGTCAATAAAGATGTAATTTTTATTCCTTAAGTGTCCATGCATTCTCTTTGGAGGGATTCTCTATTTCTTTGGCTTTTATTTGAAATTAAATAATCCAAGAGTATTGGAAAGGGGTTTAATGCCCTGCAGTTTCTAGAATCCAGCTTTGAGAAGAAAATTTCATCAAAAAGCAAATCCCAGCAATGAAAACTCTTAGGATAATTAAATTTACAATTATGACTTTGCCCTGAATCACCCAAAATTAGGCTGCAGAAGTGCCTTGGCAAGACAATCCCCAGAATACCCTGCAGATGTTCACTTTAATCTTCCACTAGCATAAAACCTCCTCTATTGTTCAGTGTTACCTGTTAAGTAAACCTAACTAAGTACAATTTGATGCTGAGGCATTGGTCTGACAACTCCAACAATTGTTGGTAGGTGAAAAAATTCCCAGTCCATATCCCAAGGAATTTGTTTGACATTCCATCCCCAAAAAAACCCCATCCTAAGCTCTCACCTTGTCGATGAAGGAGGCAAACTGGTTGTTCAGGGTCTTGATCTGCTCCTTCTCCTGGTTTTTGACTTGCTGGATCTGGGGGTCAATCTCAACGTGGACCGGACGCAGGAGGCTGGGGTCAACTTGCACCGGTTGGATGCCTCCAGGGAAGCCTGGGCCACCAAAGCCACCCATTCCACCCATTCCCCCACTGCTCATTCCACCACCAAAGCCACCCATTCCTGCCCCACCACCCATTCCACCACCAAAGCCACCCATTCCCATTCCTCCAACACCCATTCCACCACCACCCATCCCTCCACAGCTCATTCCTCCACCAAAGCCACCCATCCTGCCACCGTATCCACCACCACCATAACATCCGCCCATGGCAATCCTTCTGCTGCCCCCCATGCTGTGGAGGCTCCGGCTACTGAACCCCCCACAGTGTCCTCCTCCACCTCCTCCCCGGGATGAGGAGTACGAGCTGTAGCTGATCTTGCTCCGGCCACCACCGCCTCCAAATCCACCACCAACAGCAGAGCAGGAGCTGAATCCCTTTCTCCCCCCGACTCCAAAGCTCCTGCAGACAGACTGACGAGACATGGCTGTTTTTTTCCAAGTGGAATCAAAATCCAGAAGAGCAGAAACACCAACGGAGTTGATGAGGGCAGAAAGAAGTCTGCAGAGTCTTCTCTGGCTCCAGCAGCTTCGGGCATTCCCTTTTATCTGCTGCTGGAGGTGGGCTGGGACAGATTGGGCGTGAAGGTGGAAAGCAATTTAATATTTTCATCAGCACAGGGTTGTTGACAGATTCTCCATGAGCTTTGCCATATTTGGGGCTGCCCAGAAACACGCCCTGTAATCTAGAGGTGAATAAAACAAGAGCATCGAGACACGTCTCCATGACTAAGTGGACTCTCGTATCTTTATGACATCTTGGAAGTCAATTTTATTCATAATCCCCTTTTATGCAGCCCTTCATTGGCTATCTAGCTCTCATTAGTGGCTCCCAATAATTCTAGATAGAGATCTCCCTATCAAAGCTCCACAGAAAGGCTAAGTTTTGATGAAATTCCATCTATAATATGTCTTTCACAATTCCTTACACACACCCTTAATCCCATTTTTATATGTTAAATTGCGTTTGTGTTTCAGGAGATGTTTCCCAATCCTGAATGGGAATTCACTACACCAAAATTTGAGAAGACTCAGCATATTCTTCTGCTAGACAGGAAAAAAAATCTCCTCGGAGCATGTGGTGTCACTACAATGGGAGTGTCTTCTGCCTGCAGACTAAATACCCTCCACCTGCAACTCCGCAAATCTGGGACAACCAGCTGGAGCTTTGGATGATGCTGAAGCAGAGGGAAGAATGTGACTGGAATCATCCCACTCTCCTCAATGTTCTGAGGGTGACAGGGACTGACATCTTAAAGAAGATTGAAGGGACACATTGGGAACCCTTTGGCGACAATGTCAGAGACAGACAGACAAACACTATGGAAGAGGAGCGACAGATTAACAGTTCGAAGTGGTGAGGGGTTCCTGCTACTGTGGTGAATCCAATAACCTCTGAATTACCTGTTTTTTCCCCAAAATGAGATGACTGACATGGAAAAACCTGCTGAGAAATGGAGCTGTTACAACCCCCAAGGCACAGTATAACCTTTTGCTTCCAAATAATTTATTGTGAAAGGAATGTGGTTTAGGAATGTGGTTTAGAAATGTATTTTATAGAATATCTCTGAAATAAACCCTTTTTTTTATTACATGTAAATGAAATTTAATTAATTACAGAAAATACAAATAATATCAGTTATTTACAGCCAAGTCTGTAAATACTATATAAGAGGCATTCTAAAGGTTTTATCTACCTGAATATTATTAATTAAATACCTGAATAATTAAATTAATTAATTAGAAAATGAATGTTCACATTTTCCTAGAAAACAACACAAGTAATGTAAAATAACAGAAATGCACATTCTAGTCCCTGAAATACTTAAAACATTAATTTAAGGCCATTCAAAAGACCTGTATATGAACACAGACCTTCAGAAGGAATTTTCAGAGTCTCCAATGAGACCTGGGCAACTAAATTGTGGTTTAAAGTATCAAGAGGCATCAAAAACCAAAATGTCCCTGACTGTCACTGGGATGGGAGCCCCCGGTGTGCATGGAACAGGGAGGGGAGAACATTGCCCTTGAGGGAGTCAATGGTTAGCCAAGGGTTATCCCACTCCTGGGAGACTCAACAGTAGGCCAAGAGTTATCCCACCCCTGAGGAACTCAGTAAGAGTTGACCAAGGGTAATTCCACACTTGGGAGCTCAGTAACACTTGAACAAGAGTTATCCCACTCCGAACTCCTGGTTGGTCAAGAGTTATCCCCCTCTTAAGGGATTCAGGTAAGAGCTGGCCAAGGATTGTCCCACCCCTGAGGGACAAGGTTATCCAGCTTTGAGGGGGACCAATGGTTGGCCCAAGGTTACCCAGGTGTGTGTTCCTGCAGCTGGAGAATGGACAGCCCCCACAAAGCACAGAGGGGAAGCCCTCCTTTCCAAAAGCAGCTGCAATCAAGATGGGCTGGTTTCTCCATGGTCATCTCCCAGATGGAGATTTAACTTCTCCACACCATCCTGCAGCCCAGCACACTTGTTCGTGACGAGCAGCCCAGGCCAGCTGCAGAGTGGCTCAGGTTTAGGTGGGAAAAACAGGTTGTTCCTTCTCCTGGCCTCCCTCCCAGCTGCCAAACCCATGGTATGAAGGCACCAGGACTTCACTGGAATATCCCATGAGGAAGTTCCACAACGAGGAGGAAGATTTGCAAAGTCAGCCAGATGCCTGGGTGCTGACCACACTCAGCTCCTGCAGATAAGATGCCCAGATTGAGTCACTCTGACATCTTCAGAGAAGATGTGCAGATTATTCCAAACCTGGAGTCACTTCAGCCTCCTTCAGGTGAGACTCAACACCAAACTGATCCTTCAGATCTCTTACACAAAGAGTTGAACATGGTGATATCAACACCAGGGAAAATGTGAACTTGGCAGAAAACATGGATCGAGACTGAGCTGTGCTCCGGCTTCACATCTGACCCAGCCAAGAACTTCCGTCGTGGATCTTGCACAGAGGAGGTGTCATGACAACTCCTCACATGGCACTACAATGCTGTGTTCTGGAATTTAAAGCTGAGAAGAAACAGACTCTTAAAATTAAGCACCAAAGCAGGTGACTCTTGCCCCAGGCTAAAACCTCAAAGTTCTCCTGGCACAACACCAGCTTCTCAGAGCCTTCTCAGCATCATCTTGTTGGGCCAAACCCGGCCACGTTCCCCAACACTGGCACCCTTCTGCTGGGCTTCCAACAGGAGAAATCTCTCTTCCAAGAAGCCTGCAGTCATTCCCTGCTTCCTTTCCTGGACCTCTTCCTCAGTTTGCGGCTTCCTGATCCACTCTGAGAACATCAGCTGCTCCCAGAGGCTGTTGTGGGACTCCTGAACCACCACTGACAGCATTTTCTGCCTCTTTGATTTCTCCAGGTGGTGGAGGAACCACAGCACAGCTCGGATCAAACCTGTGGACTCCCCTCCCAAACCCCCACCTTGAGCTCCTCCAAATCTCTCCCTCCTGTTCTTGGAGCAAGGATGAGCCACTGGGGAACCAATTGGCTTCTCAGGGAGAAGATGGTACCTGGGCCCATGGATGGGTATGAATCACACCTTTGCAGCCCATCGTGTTCCCACAGCTGGAATCCTCCTAGGCCAGATGAGTTTGTGGCTGACTGCAGCCAGTAGCAGGTGCTTAACCAACACCCTGATCCATATTCACCTGCCCTCCCACCACTGCACACAGCAAAACTGGTGCCATCTCCTTCGCCTAACACAGGTCAAGGTCTCCTGCACCTGGAGATGATCCCGAAGGAACCTTAGAAGCAGCAACTTAATTACATTGATTGGTCCAAGGGTTGCAACAATTCCCATCTAGAGGAAGGTGTCCCTGTTCATGGCAGGGGGTTGGAATTGGATGATCTTTAAGGTCCCTTCCAATCCAAACCATTCCATTATTCAATGATTCCAGGTCTCTGACCTGGGCTCTTATTTCTCATTGTTCAGCTGGAGGATCCAGACCTCCACCATACCAGATATAGGCTTGTGCCTCCAGGTAAGAGTCAAGAGCGTCATCTGAGCTGGGGCACCTGCCCTGATCCATCCCCACCACTGATCTGTTCCCTCAAAACACAGGGACGGACAGGAGAACAACCCCCTCTCCACCCTGCCCAGAGCAGCTCCCAAAGCAGCAACACGACATCATGAATATTCTCTGCAATTTATTGGGAATAGCAACATCCTAAGGAAGGAGGGCAGCCAACAGAGAAGGGTGGGAGGTGGGGACAGTACATCTGGGGAGAGCATTGCACTGTGTCATGGAACCTGAGCACTGAAGGACAAGTTTGTTCTCCTTAGGAATAGTCCAGGTGTGTGTGAGGTGTGCCAGGTGTCACTGAGAGACGGGACTAGTGGAATGGAAGCTGGAGCTCCAGGGAAGATGTGCTGGCAGCACACCTGGGGCTCCAAGTAAGCAAAGCTGCCCAGAATCTCCACCCCGGGCCAGCTCCCACCTCTAGCCGTCCCTAAGGTGCCCCTCCCCAAGGGCCGAGTCCCGCTTGCCCCACACCCACCCTGACCACAAAGGCCTGCAAAGGGAATAGCAGGATGGACACACACAGAAGCACCCCAGGGACACAGAACAGGAGGAGAGAGGAGGAAAGAGGAGTTTTATACACATTTGCCACAAGAAATGTACAACACAGCAAGGAAGGCAGAGCAGCCCCTCCTGCCAGGCAGCTCCCGGTGCCGGGACACCCACGGCATCCCCACCAAACCGCCAGGTGGGACCAGAATCTGGGACAAGTTGGGTGGGAGGGACACAGTTCGTCCCATTGCAAGACACCAGAGCTGGGCTTCAGGAGGCTGGGCTGCTGTCAGAAGAGAGAGGAGGTGCTTCTTTCCTTGTCAACCTTCGGGGCTCAGAATCTCACTCCCGAAGATTTGACCGAGGTGGTGGTGACGCATCTCCGCACGGAGGAGGATCCCCCGCCAGAGCCGCACATCCTTCCGCTTCCAGAGGAGAAGCCGCCAGCGTACATTCCTCCCCCCATCCCACAGCTGCCGCCCATGCTGCCTCCTCCAAAGCTGCTGCCTCCTCCGCACATGCCGCCTCCTCCCATTCCTCCTCCCATGCCGCTGCCGCCTCCGAATCCTCCTCCCATGCCGCTGCCTCCGAATCCTCCTCCCATGCCTCCTCTGACTCCAGAGACAGTCGTCCTGCCCACCACAGCTGGAAGAGAAGCAGAGGTTACTCACCTGTTGCCCAAAAGTACAAGTTCTACCACTTCTGAAGGACCCCAGGGCAGATACTTACAGACGTTGACGTTGGACATGGTGTCGTTGCACAGCCTGTGAAGGAAATTGGACATTTTAATTACCCAATAAAAGAGAGGTTGTAAAAACTTTAAACTGTGTTTTGACTGTCAAACCATTTTCCTGATTCCCCCTCCTAAACCACTTTGGAATCACTAAAATATTGGAGGAGGGAAGGGGTTGGCAATTCCCCTTTACAGTGAAGTTTCTCCAGATCTGAGGTTCATTAAAACCTCACCAGTCACACAGACGGGGCAGCAGCTTTACCATCTCTAGGGGGCCAGTTAT